CTGCCCACTCCCAGGCTGATGGGGAAGTGGGTCTCTGCTCAAGGTCAGTTGTCCCCACAAGACCCCTGAAGCTGGGGTTAACAGGTGATCGTGGCCAGTCCAACGTGGGTGCTGGGAACCGAACCTGGGTCCTTTGGAAACACAGGAAGAACTCTTAACTGCTGAACAGCCTCTCCAGCACTAGAATCTGAACTCCTGCTATATTCCCAGTGCTTAGTGGAGTGCTGACCATAGATGCTCAGTCAATGAACAAAGACATTAACCAAACCCTTCTGTTCCAGGACAGTTTTACAGGTTAGAGCCACTCAGACAAGCAGGCACAGAAAAAAATATTCCACACATCCTGTGGGTCATCCACATCCCTTGGGGTTGGTGGTGGCGGTAGTGGTGTACTGGACTAGATGGTGGAGGAAGCCCCAGCTGGGAACCAAGCATCCCCAGAATGGGAAGGAAGGATGCTCTGGAGGGATAACCAACCCCGCCCTGTATCCCTAGCAACCAATGGGTTCGCCATCCTCCCAACGGCCCCTGGGACGTGTAGTCCCTGCAGGGGCGCCCTCGGGCGCTGCCGCGCGCCCCTAGACTCCAGGTCCCGTCGTGCGCTGGGAGGCGCGGGGATTGGCTGAGCCCCGCCCCCGGTCCGCCCCGCTTCGCTCGCGCCGCAGCCCCAAGAATGAATGAAATCGTAGCGCGCTGGGCGGCAGAGCGGGCGGCACAGGCCGGGCTGGGCCCGCGCGCGGCGGCAGCAGCGCCCCGGGCCGGAGGCGGCCCAGTCGAGCGGGCCATGGCCACCGCCATTCAGAACCCGCTCAAGTCGTGAGTGTCCCCTCCCCAGTCTGGACCCCCTTACCCAGGAGCTGATTCTCCCCCAGCACTCCCCGGGGCCGGGGTGGGGGACGCAGCGCGTGGATGGTATGGAGATACTCGGGGACCCCCTGTGCGGCCCCACTCCCCTGCAAGCCCTCCACCCCCTGTCGCCCTCTGGGGTTAGGTACGAGAGCCCTTCTGGGTCGCGAGGGCTCCTCTTCTTTGTGGCTGTCAGTGAAGGAATGTGGCGCGGGCTAGGGGGTGGCGGAGGCCGTGTCCCCACCCAGAGTGGGGGTAGGGGCTTCGCTCGTCTACTCCATCTCTGCTCCTCGGCGTCTTGGGGAGGGTGCACGAGTGCCCCGGGCGGGTGGGAGGTACCAACCTCTAAGTGCGGACCTGGATCCCCGCGCTTCTCACCACCCATTCCCCTCATCAAAGCACCATCCTCTTGTCCGGGTCTTCCTCCCGGAGCCCCGCGGCTGCAGAGTGGGAGCCGGGACCATCCCCGTTTGAGTCCTTGCTGTCTCCTCTCTTTGCTCGCGGGTTTCCGAGACCTACAACTCCCGGCGTCTGCGTCGGCTCGGACCGTGGCAGCCCTCCCTCTCCCCGCCCATACCCATCTAACGCGAGCGCCTCCCATCCGTTTGAGGACCCGTGCCTCGGGAGCCGGTGCTGGGAGCGCCTCCCTCTCCGGGAATTCCCTCCCTTTCGGCTGTCGCTACTCTCCTTTGAGCGCTGGCCTCCCGCTGGGCCCGGTGACTAGGAACCGGGACGCCTGGGTCGGAGGCTAGCCCCTCCCCGCTTTCTGCCACCCGACGCCGCCTTCTCCTTTTCGTATCTCCCTCTCTCGGTCCTTCCCCGGGATCCCGGACCCCCGGGTCCCGGCGCGCTCCCCCCCTCCTTTCCCAGGCGGTGACAGCCGGCTACGAGTGACAGGAGCGTGGCCGCTCCCGCCCTCTCTCGCTGCAGGAGAGCGGCACTCCCCTCCCCCGCTCCCGGCCGGGCGGAGGAGGCGGAGGGCGAGCGCCCGCGGCGCCGCACAAAGGGGCCGGGGCTATCCCCCCCTTTCCCCACCCCCTGCACTTACAGACTTGACCTTGAGCCTGGAGCGTTGGGGTGACGGGGGGGGGCGTGTGCCTCCACCCCCATCCACCTACAGAAGGGTCGTTTGAACCAAAACCCCTCCCCAGTTGCTTCTGTGTCTGGGATGGGGGAGAGGGATGAGAGTTGGGGGGGCAGGGATTTACAGGCACACGCCCACAAGGAGACCGTCTGGTGCCTGGGTCAGTGTGAGGGGGAGGGCAATGGGAACACATTACGCTTCCCTCTGCCTCTAAGTCACACACACAGAGGTCCCTGCCGTTTGGAGGGCTGTCCTGAGAACGGTGTATGCTGGAGTTCCAGACTGGGCCGGTGGGACTGTAGACTCGTTGGAGGGAGTATGTTTGGAGAGCACTCTGCAGGAGTGTAGAGGACAGTCAGAGAGGACTGGCCACGCTCTCTCTCTTCTGGCCACTTTCCAAAGGGCCTATCGGACTGGAATTGGAGACGCACTCGTCCCTAAGGGATGCCAGAGCCACAGGTCGCGGTGGCTCACACCTTTAACCTCAGCTCCAGGGAGGCGGACGCAGGTGGACCTCTGCCAGCTTGGCTTATACAGTGAGCCCCAGGCCTGCTAGGGCTAGAGCCAAATCCCCTCGGGAAGGCGAGCCCATTGGCACCAGCTGTAGCTCGCCATGCCTGAATTCACACTTGGCTCGAAGCCTCTGGTTTCCTGCTCTGGGCCTCAGTGTTACCGAGTGTGGGTTGGGCGGTGTAACTGTGTATATTACCTCATGGGGGCAGCAGTGAGGCTCACAGGGGTCGCTGACTTGGTTAACAGACATGCTCTTGGAGGAGCTCGCGCTTTTTGGTTGTGGGCCGCCGCGCTGGGCTTTATAGTTTTGCGGGGGAGGGGGTTGTTTGTTTTGCTTTGCTTTATTTTTTTTAAGTCAGACTGTTAAAAACTCTCCAGCATAGACTGCCCTCAAACTCAAGCAATCTTCCCGTCTCAACTCTCAGCTAAGCCGTCTGAGAGCTAGATCCCAGCCACGGACCCTCACTAGAGAGGCCATCTTTCTAAAGCACTTTGCCCAGGTCAGGTTCAGGCTCTGGGGAGGGGATCTGGTGGGTGGCGGAGGTGAAGGGAAGGCGACAGGGAGCCTCTGAGCTGAAGGAAAGGGCGTATCATGACAGGGGGGCAGCCCTGGGGTGTGGAGAGGAGGCTGAGTGAGAGGTACCAGCGTCCCTCACTTAGTTCCGGGCAGGAAGTGAATCAGGTGCCCCCCTACCTACACTGGGGGAGGAAGGGGTGGGTCAAGGTCTTGGATGCCTTGGGTGTGTGGATGGGGGCATTTGTGGAAGGGAGTTAAGACTGGGGTTGTGTGTAGTTCAGGAAATCTTGAGTCTTAGCCGGGGCGGGTGGAACACCCCCTGCTGGACAACGGCGTATTTGTATTAACACTTGATATGCTAATTTATGCAGCCACTCAAATCAAAGTGGTAAGTTATTCCCCAGAGGGTGGGGCTGAGAGATGGAGCGCACACGCACGAGTGTGTGTGTGTGTGTGTGTGTGTGTGTGAGAGAGAGAGAGAGAGAGAGAGAGAGAGAGAGAGAGAGAGAGAGAGAGAGAGAGAGAGAGAGAGAGAGAGAGAGAGAGGTTCTGTTAGGGTAGGGACTGTGGATAGCAGTAAGAGAAAAATGGATGACCAGGTGAATGAATCTTCCAGTACTACCTTCAGACAGCAGTCAGGGTAAGCTTTCTCCTCCATATCTGAAAGTCCTCGTCTGGAAAATAAGGATAGCAATAGTTTAGCCCGGAGAGAGCTGTGTTTACGCAAACGCTAAGCATTCACTCAACGTATATTTGTTGACCGCCTACTTGGGGCAGGCACTATTCTTTCTAATAGCAGCGTCACCACTTTATGCCTTGGTACATATGAGATCCTCTTTGTAGATGTCTTCTCTGTGGAATAAATGGATTTATTAGTACCTGCCAGGTACTGTTTCTTCATCTGGGGCTTCGATTGAACCCATGGGCTTTCAATTACTTTCTTTTACTAGAACTGAACCCCAAGCCCTATTATGTATCTTTGGAAACACTTTACAGCGCCTGGTGTGGTGTCACACACCCATGGGAGGCAGAGGCAGGAGAATCGTAGTTTGGGGCCAGCTTGAACTGGACAGTAAGATTCTGTACTAAAAAAGCTACTTACCTGCTCCTCATCTAATCTCCAGTACCATGAGGTATTATAACTATTTTCCAAAGGAGGAGACAGGCCCACAAAGGTTAAGTCATGTGCCCGAAGTCCTATCAGCGAGGATTTGAGCCCAAGAAGAATGACGACAGTCCTGTAGTCCTGCAGGAGTGGACCCGGGTGACCGCGACAGTCAGCCCCGGGACACCATAGGTTCTCCAGAGTTTGGAGGGCATGGCGGGAGAGGCGGCGCCTACTCCGGCATGCTGGTGACACGGCTGGGTGGGCACTTTGGCGGTCTGGACGCCTGTGGCTGGGCGTGAGTGGGGCGTGTGAGTCCGCGAGTGTAGTGTGACTGTGTGTAGGCTGCCATGTGCGCGCGTGTGCGTGCATGCGTCTGTGCACGTGGGGCCGGGGAGTGCGTGCGAGTGAGCGTGTGTGAACCACGGCGTGATCCTCCATCCCCCCGCCCCCACCCCACCCCCCCCCGGGTCTGAGGACCCGCCGGGGACTACCACTCCCGGCATGGCCCGGGCGGCCCGCCCCGCCGTTCTGATTGGCTGAGATCCGCGTGCTCCCGCCCCCCGGGAATGAATGGATGGGCGGCCTCAGCGCCCGCCCGACCGCTGGGAGGACCGACCCGGCAGGGACCTGCTGGGGGCAGGACCCGGGGAGCAAGATGGCCACGGTCATCCCCGGCCCCCTGAGGTGGTGCGGGCGGGCGGGCGGGGGCGGGGGCCGGGGGAGTCCGCGCGGGCGGGTCCTGCGCGGCGGCGCACGCGTGTGTGTGTGTGGGGGGGGGCCGCTGGGGGTGGGGCCGCTGGGGTGTCAGGGGGCTGTCACCGTGCGCGGGGGTGCGAGCGTGTGTGGCCGTGGGTGTCTGGCGAGATGATGTCCGACGCGCTGCTCCTGGACGGGTGGGGGAGGCGGGGGAGGGGTCTCCCCGGGTTTTGGGGGGAAGGGGGTCATGCCCCCCTCCCAGGGATGCCCGGGTCTGAAAGAGGGTAAAACGGCTTAGGGAACCTGGGCCTGAGTACACTCGAGTCCAGTCCACGCTACCTTTGTCTCGGGGTGTGGAGTGTGTTGTGCGACTTGTGTATTGCTTTTTGTTTTCTGGCTGAATGTGTGGGTATGTATGTATATGATTTCTTTTATTCCGCACCAGCTATCTGACTGTTTGGGTCTCTTGAGTGTGTGCCCGTGTCTGGTGAAACTGCACCATTTATTGCTGTGTCTTTGGGGATATGTGTGAGCATGGGCAGACTTGACTGTCCCCTGTTTCCCAGGCGTGTGCTGGTGTTTGGGAATGTATTTTAAAATCTGGGTTTCTGTTTTCCCCGGGTGTGAAAGTGTGAGTGTGCGACTGTGTAAATCTCTGTGATTTCTTTGTTATTGTGTGTTTGACATAGTGTCTTTGGGTAGATGTGTGAGCGCATGTGAAATGCTTCCCGAGCCCGTCTTTGGACAGTGTGTGGCTGTTGCGATGTGTGCGTGTCGTACGTTTCCATGCCGTGGCTCTTTGTGGACAATTTGTTTATCTTGTGGTCTTCGGGTACATGACGTGCAAAGGTAGTTTTATGGCCTGTTTCTGACTTGGGATATTTGTGTTCTGCAAGAGATGTGTGTGTGTGTGTGTGCCGGGGGGTTGGATGTGTTTGCTTCTCCTTTGTGAATATTGGGATATGTTTCTCTTTGTGTGTGAATCCCGTGTGGCCATGTGCGATTTGTTTGTTTTGGGTGTTTGGCTACGTTCATGTGTGGATGGGTCCCGGTGTGCTTCGGTCTGTGAACGCTTCTTACCCTGAGACATAATCAAGTTCCAGGTAGCTGCCTCCCAGCCAGCAGCCTGCCCCGCCCCCGGGCCCCGACGGGTGGGAGGAGGGGGAGGTGAAGGTGGCCCTGGCTGGTTTGCCCTGTGCAGACCCGCGGGAACGGGCGGCCGGGGGAGGGTGCTGGGCCTCCCCGCGCCAGCCCTCGCTGACAGCCGCCCGCCCGCTGCTCGCCCGCCCCCTCAGCCTCGGCGAGGACTTCTACCGGGAGGCCATCGAGCACTGCCGCAGCTACAACGCGCGCCTGTGCGCCGAGCGCAGCCTGCGCCTGCCCTTTCTCGACTCGCAGACCGGTGTGGCCCAGAACAACTGCTACATCTGGATGGAGAAGACCCACCGGGGGCCTGGTACCCGCCGCGAGGCCGGGGCGGGGCGGGGCCTGCGTCCCGGGGCCTCACCCTCACAGCCTCTTTCTCCTCCAGGTTTGGCCCCAGGACAGATCTACACTTACCCCGCCCGCTGCTGGAGGAAGAAACGGAGACTCAACATCCTGGAGGACCCCAGGCTGCGGCCCTGCGAGTACAAGATCGGTGGGTGGAGCTGTGTCCCCTGCGCCTGCTGGGGCCCCCATCGGAGTCCTCAGCGCCTCGGCTGCCAGTCCGAGCATAGCCTTTATTTTCCCCGATGTCTTGAGTTACTTCCTTTGAGTTTTTGAGCTTCCAACTGTACCTGCCACGTGGGCCGTGGCCGAGCAGGTGTATGGAAGGACACCGTGTTATCTGTGTCTATATGTATCAACTAACTGTATCTGCTCCCCAGTGAGTTGGGGTACACCCCTGTCCAGCTGTGTTTCTCTCTGTGGGTGCTGGAGGGCATCTGGCTGTCTCCCTGTGCGTTTGGATGAGTTAGTAGTGTTTCTCAACCTGTGTGTGGCGACCTTTTGGGTTCGTGTATACCAGATGTTTACATTGTTTCACAAGAGTAGCAAAAGCAACGAAATACTTTTCAGGTTGAAACAACATGAGGAACTGTACTACGGGGTCACAACGTTGGGGAAGTTGAGAACCACTGAGTTGAGTGTCTAATTGTAACTGTTGCTGGGTGTATCGGAGTGCCTGGAGTGCCTGTTTCTTTGTAGGTGTTTCCAAGTGAGGGTATGTGTCAGAAGGTGTGTGTGTGTGTGGTGTATATCTACCTCTTCTGGGGGTACCTCTTCTGGGGGTATCTATGGTTCCATCAGCACGTCCTGCTGAGGTTCCTGATGCTGTGGAATTACTGTGGGAGATTTTCTGCTTGTTTCTGTGTTAGATGCTTCTTGAGGTGTGTGCTAGTTCATAGACTGACTGGAGTTAGGGCTTTCCCATGAAAGGCAGACACTGGTGTCTGTGCCCCCCCCCGTGTGTGTGTGTGTGTGTGTGTGTGTGTGTGTGTGTGTGTGTGTAGGTCTGCTTGTATCGGGAGTACAGGAGTGCTGGCTGGCTGTGTCTTCCTGTGTGTGTGAGACTTTCAAGTGAGCTACCGGTGTTTCTCTGTGGATGTCTGTGGGTGTTGGGGTGTGTCACAGGGCCTGCCCGTGTCTTCCTAACTAGTGTGGGCTCTGCCATCTCCTTCCAGTGCCTCTGCATTTCAGGTTTAACTGTGTGTCTTCTGTGGAGCTATAGTCAAAGGTCTGGTGTGCCTGACCACCTATCTGCATATCCTGCATGCGTGTCTGTGAGCACCCTATTCAAATGGTTAACTTTCTGTGGGTGTGTCTGAGGGCTGGGCTTTCACTACACGGGTGTTTATGAGGGCCTATATTGTTGCTGACGGTTTCTGGGCATATCCAGCATTCTGGCCTTGTCTTTTTTATTGAGTTGAGCTGAGAGTGCGGCTGTGTCTCCCCAGGATCTGGGCACACTTTCCAGGGCCTGAGGTTGAGTCTTCATGTCCTTGTTGGCTGAGTGTGGGAGAGCCTGTCCCTGCCACAAGGGCCATGCCTGTGTCCAGCGGCTCCCCCTTACTCCCCCCTCCCCCGCCCCCCTGCAACCTGGGCACTCTGATCACAGTCTCCTCAACTGACACTGCTTTTCCTGTGGACTGTCCCCAGATTGTGAGGTGCCCCTGAAGAAGGAGGGTGGCCTTCCAGAAGGGCCCGTCCTCGAGGCTCTGTTGTGCGCCGAGACAGGAGAGAAGAAAGTGGAGCTGAAGGAGGAGGAGACCATCATGGACTGTCAGGTAGGAGCTCCCACCCTGGCTGCAGGGCTGGCTCACCCTGTCGCCTGTCACCACTTGGCCTTCCTGCTCTGAAGCACCTGGCTCCACAGGGCCTCTGGGTACCCTACGTCTCCATCCCCCCAGAAACACCTCTGCTTGTAGAAGGTTCCTGGCTTGCTTTCCCTCCCCCCACCTGCAGCACACCAGTGCCCCCACCTTCTTGACCCCCCAATCTCCCTTCTACTGGGCCCAGAAACAGCAGTTGCTGGAGTTTCCGCATGATCTCGAGGTAGAAGACTTGGAGGAAGACATTCCCAGGAGGAAGAACAGGGCCAAAGGAAAGGTATCTTCCAGAAGCTTCTCCCCACCACCTCCTCCCCAGAGCTGTATGTAGGAGTAGAGACTCAGAGAATGATAAATATTTGCAAAAAAAAGAAAAAAAGGGCTTGTGCAGTGGATCAGAGCTGTCCACAGAGCTGGGTGTGGTGCTCCACACACAGAGTCCCAGCACCTGGGAGGCTGAGGCAGGAGAATTGCCTCAAGTTTGAGACAAGTGAGTTCCAGACTATTCTAAACTACATAAAGAGACACTGTGCAAAAAGAAATTAACAAGAAAATTCTAAACCAAGCCAACTACCCAAACAACAACCCCCCACACTCCCTCCCACACACACAACACAGAACAAACAAAAATCTTCTGCCTGATACCCTTAATCCCAGCACTCAGGAGACAGAGACAGGTGGATCTCTGTGAGTTTGAGGCCAGCCTGGTCTACAGAGTGAGTTCGGGGACAGCTAGGGCTACACAGAGAAACCCTATCACAAGCAAAACAAAACAAAAACAAAAATCTCCAATAAAAGCAATAAAAATGTTCTAGAGTACACCTTTAATCTCAGCACTAGGGAGGCCGAGACAAGAGGATCTCTGTGAGTTCAAGGCCAGCCTGATCTATGCAGTGAGCTCCAGAACAGCCAGGGCTACAGGGAGAGACCCTGTCTCCAAACAGCAACGACAAAAAGAATTCTCTTCATGGTTGTCCCGAGAGAAGTCGTATAGCTAGAAAGTCTGCTCAGTTTCATGTGGAGGTTTAATTGCTGTTGTGGGGTGCGGATGGAACCCAGAGTTTCATACTCACATGACACCTGCTCTGTCACTGAGCCACACAGCCCCAGGACTGAAAAGAAAAATTAATTTTTTTTTCAGTTTGACTGTCAAGTCTAAATGAAGAAACCCAGTAAAGCATGGCAGCAAACCCATAATCCAGAGGCAGAGGGTCACTGCGTGGCCATCCTCTTCTACATAGTGAGTTCCAGGCCAGCCAGGGCTACTTAGTGAAACCCTGTCTCCAACAGCAGCAACAGCAACAACAGACAAACTCAAAAAAACCCTAAGAATGATGAGCCTTTCCCTGGTTTTCTGGTTTCCTTACTCCTAACCCTCCTCCCCGCAGGCATATGGCATTGGCGGTCTTAGGAAACGCCAGGACACCGCTTCCCTGGAGGACCGAGACAAGCCGTACGTCTGTGATAGTGAGTTCTGCAGAGGGGGAAAAAAAGAGGCAGCGTGGGGCCCAGTGACCTCACACATTATGGCCCTTGTTCTGGTCCTGGCTCTTGGGGAAAGGGGGTGTTCTCTGGGAGAGGGCATGGTGTGATCCTGGAGGCCAGGGTGGAGGAGGTGGCCACAGTGTCTGACAACTGCCTACTCACTCACCCTTCAGTCTGTGGGAAGAGGTATAAAAACCGTCCAGGGCTCAGCTACCACTACACCCACACCCACCTGGCTGAGGAGGAGGGGGAGGAGCACACTGAGCGCCACGCCCTGCCTTTCCACCGGAAAAACAACCATAAACGTGAGTTGGAGGGTCAGCGCTGATGGGGGAGATGCCCAGGGGTGCATTGGGGGCAACAGAGCCTGGTGGCGGCTGGGGAAGGGGAGGTGGGGGCACATTAGACACTTCTGGAAAATCTCCAGCCTAACAGTCCCTCCCCCACCGACCATAGGGATGCTGGCTCTGGGGTTGCCATGACAACCAACCAACCATCTCTCTCTCTCTCTCTCTCTCTCTCTCTCTCTCTCTCTCTCTCTCTCTCTCTCTCTCTCTCTCTCTCTCTCTCCCTCCCTCCCTCCCTCTCTCCCTCTCATTCTCTCATTCTCTCTCCCTCACTCCCTGCCCGGGCATAATATTTCTGGGTCTGATTTATTGTTTCAATTAGAGCTTTGGGGGGTGATAGATGCCTCTTCTCCCTCTCAGGGCCTCCCTTATTCCCTTCTCTGCTATGTTAGGATCCAGGGGCAAGGTCTGTGGCCCCCAGGGCCCTTGACACCCACCCACACCGGCTCCATGCCATGAAGGCTGAGCTGAGGGGGAAGGGAGCTGTCTCTCACCTGCCCCTCAGAGTGAGCTCAACAGCCTCAGGCCAGGCCCAGAACCTCCTGTGCTCTCGGCCTCCTGAGTAGGTCTCCGTACCAGATCTTGCAGAAGAACTGTCTGCTAATTGCTGGCCTAGGCAAACAGACTTGAGGGTGCACACAGGGCTTTTGCTAAGGTTATACCTATTTTCCACACTCTTACCCAAATAAAAAGGACATACAGTTATGCCAAGTTTTGGTGAGGTCTGCCCCTCCCCCAGCTGTCCCCCCCCTTGCTGCTTCCCAGTGCCTGGGCCAAGGGTCCACCCCTGGGGCTGAGGCTGGGGACAGATGGGACCTTGCCTATAGTAAGAGCCCCTTTCTGTCCCCCACCCCCAGAGTTTTACAAAGAATTGGCCTGGGTCCCTGAGGCACAGAGGAAACACACAGGTAGGGACACCTCCCTCCGTCCCGACTACTGCAGCAGTGTTTGAGTAGGGTGTCCCAGCTCCTCTGTGCCCACCGCTGCCTGCTGTCTTTCAGCCAAGAAAGCACCAGACGGTACTGTCATCCCCAATGGCTACTGTGACTTTTGCCTGGGAGGCTCCAAGAAGACTGGGTGTCCCGAGGACCTCATCTCCTGTGCAGATTGCGGGCGATCAGGTGACACTCACCGCGGTTTTTTTTTTTTTGTTTGTTTGTTTTGTTTTTTTGGTTTTTCGAGACAGGGTTTCTCTGTGGCTTTTTTGGAGGCTGTCCTGGAACTCTCTCTGTAGACCAGGCTGGCCTCAAACTCAGAGATCCGCCTGCCTGCCTCCCTCCCGAGTGCTGGGATTAAAGGCGTGCGCCACCAACGCCCGGCAATACTCACTGCATTTTACTGGAAGGTGCAGGGGAGGGGACACCCCAGAACTCGGATTTGGGCAATGCCCCGGGGCTCAGTGGTTTGGCGGAGCCTGGGGGCTGCCCCTGCTGCGAAGGACTGTGGGAAACTGCGTGGGATCAGTGTAGGAACAGTATGAGGTTCCTACTGTTTTCCCTGGCGTGGAGAGTGGACAGGAGCTGCCAGGGCATTGTGGGTAGGGGACTGAGGTACGGGAGTAATGAATTGCACCACCTGGCTGCTGTGGAAAACAGACTTGAACTGTGGTTAATAGAGTGCGGTTGCTCACGGAGGCCTCATGGGTAGTAAGGCTGGCTGCTTCAGTAGCATGGGTAATGGATTGTGGCTGTTGCAGGATGGGTTGTCCTGGCAATTTAATACAATGGAATGTGACGGTTACGGCATAGTGGACCGTGGCTGTGGGGACCCAGTACTGTGGCAGCGTGGCCAGTCGCTCCAGCTGTCGGGCGGGGTGGGCTGTTGGTGTCTGGCTCTGTGGGAAGTAGTTGGGTGTTGTGGGCAGTGGCTGCCGGGCTCTGTGGACGGTGGCTGTGGGTGTTGGGTGCTGTGGAAGTGCTGTGTGCAGGGCCACAGGTGTTGGGAGCAGACTGACACTGAGAGTATTTATTGCCAGTGGCAGAGGCTTTGCTGCTGCCTTGTGTGGTGTGGCCTTCGGTTTCACGGAAGCAAGGTGTGGGGACCCTGTCGTGGAACTGGAGGCAGTAGGATCCTGGCTGGGAGAAGGCGGCTGCCACGTTGCTGGGGTTAACAGGAGGGCTGGCCGCTCTGCTGTGGGTGTATTGGAATGCGGCCGTCCAGTGCGGTGCTCAACAGACTGTGGTTGCCACAGTGTTGTGGGTGGTAGAACGTGGTTGCCACAGCACTGTGGGTAATGGAATGCGGTTGCCATGGTATCCTGGGGAGCAGAGTGTGGTTGTCATGGTGGCTGAGTAGGAGACTGTGGTGGCCAACACAGCTGCTGCCAGAAGTCCCGCTTCCGGATGTCTGTCTTGCGGGTAGGGTCCCGCCACAAAGCTCATCTTGACCTCTGAGTCAGGGGTGGGGATAGAGCCATTACTTCCCCAGGGGCCCCATGACCTGCTAACTGCATCCCTGCCTCTCGGTCCCCAGGACATCCCTCGTGTTTACAGTTCACGGTGAACATGACCGCGGCCGTGCGGACCTACCGTTGGCAGTGCATCGAATGCAAATCCTGCAGTCTGTGTGGCACCTCAGAGAATGACGTGAGTGCCTGCCCCGCCTCCGGGCACACCTCCGCTGCCCCTCCAGCCTGGCTCGGCTGCTGTTGCCCCTGAAGCCCAAAGCCTTCCTTGCTCATCACCTCTGGGTGACCAGCAGTCGCGTGCCCTACTGTTGGCACACCTTGATTTGAGCCTGTCCCTGTATGTCCTCTCCCCTCTGACACCTCCCAACCTCCCTTGAGGCTGGCGTTCTTGGTCCCACTATACATAGAAGAGGTTGCTGAGCTCAGGGAGGGAGGATGATGCCTGAGGTCGCCACGGTGAGAGCATGGCAGGGCCAGGATTTGAACCTATGTATACTCATGGCTCCTGAGCTGCTTTGGGCCAGCTGAACATCATTCAGTATTCTGTAGTTACAAAATCCAGACGACACTCTGTGAGTCGACGAGCAAGACCAGTGGGCTCCACGGTACAGACTGCAGAGCCAGCTCTCAGAAAAGCCCCTGGGACCTAGCCCCTGCCCCAGCCCCCCACCCCGGTTTCTGGTGCCCATGCCCCCAGGGTGCCAGCTGGGCGGGTCTCACCCCCCAGGACCAGTTGCTGTTCTGTGATGACTGCGATCGGGGTTACCACATGTACTGCTTGAACCCTCCCATGGCGGAGCCCCCGGAAGGTGAGGGAAGAGGTGGGCGAGACGCGGGGTGGGTGGGTTGGAACTTTGTCTTCCTGGTGGCAGAGACCATGTGCTCTGGGTGGGGACAGGTGGGGGGGGCGCCCTTCTTCGGCTGAGTCTAATTTTGTCTCTGGCTTCCCCCGCAGGGAGCTGGAGTTGCCACCTCTGTCTCCGGCACTTGAAAGAGAAGGCCTCTGCTTACATCACCCTCACTTAGGCCTGGCTCTGCTCCTCCAGGACCTTTGGGTGGTGCTAACTTTCCTGCCTCGAGGAGCTCCTGGCTCTTCCCACCCAGTGTCCCCAGAGGGAGGGAGGGGGTGAGACCCAGAGGGGGAACCGAGGCGTTCTCCCTCTGCAAGTGGAATGTACCCTGTGGGTGGGTGGGTCCTGTAGGGCTCCTCCTGCCCCCCTCCATCCCTTGGCAAATGGGCACCAGGGGCTTCTGCTCCCCTCAAAGCCATACCCCGCCTCTGGGCGGGCATAGGGGGGTAGTGGATGCCAGCTGGGGGCACGGAAAAGCCTTTTTCTAAAGAAAAAGACAAAAAGTTAAAAAAAAAAAGGAAATTAATATATACAAAGAGTCCTATAAAGCCTGGCTGGGTGGAGGGGCACAGCGAAGTGTCTGCTGGGTACCAACGTTACCAGTTTCCTGACTGGCCCCTCCCCGCCCTGTTTCTGGGGTTGCAATTGTCTCAACTCCCCATCTGAGGTGGGCCCCACTCCTTCCTCACACCCAGGCCAGGTGGGCATCGAGCCCACCTACTGCCCTCCCCCAGTACCCACCGTGGATACTGCATGATGTGAAACCATGGTTTTGAACTCTTCCTGCCCCTCCTGGACAGCCCCACCCTGCGCCCACCCGGTGCCTGCCAGGCCCGGGGCATGCGCTGGGGAGGCGGGTGGGGTGAGGCAGGCAGGCAGCCAGCCCGCTGCATCGAGAAGCACAGATTGCAATGGACTCATTTTTTTTCCTCTCTCCTCGGCCCCTTCCCTACCCGGCCAGGCCGGGCTGCCTCCTACCCCCACCTCCCCAGCCACTTTGGGGGTGGCGAGGGGGTGTGGTTGTTTCTTGTGGTTGTGTGTGTTTGTTGTTCGGGTTTTAAAAAGGGAAATCGAGACGGCAAGTGGGGGAGGTGGAGGGTCTGGGGGAGTCTACCCCCAATCCAGGAGTACCCCCCTTGCCACCAAGTCTCCTTTATTGCCTGCCTCTGCTGTGAATTAACTTGTTCTGTGTATTAAACTGGGCCTGACCCCTCTACCAACGACTGCCTCCTTCTCTAACATCTTTTGGGGGTGTCACCAAATGGGGAGCCAAGGGGCCTCATTGGGGTAGAAACTACGGTGGCCAGCCCCCACCTCCTTGCCCCCACACCCTTCCTCCCTCTGGCTTTGTCCCAGCTCCTCCCTCCCTGTCTTGCTGCAGAGAAGAGGGGGATGGGGTGGAGGGGCTCCCACCCAGCCAGCTGTGGTTGCCCTAGCAACGGGCTGCTGCAGCTGCGGCGGGAGGCAGCTCAAAGAGGGAGGTGGGAGTGAGGGCTGGGGGAAGGGAGGGCTGGGAGAGACCCTAAGGCAGCCCCCTCCCAGGCTAGGGTGAGGGGATGGCACCCCAGCATGGCTGGCTGTCACCTGGAATTCCCTGCCCTGGGTGTGGTCAAAGTGGGGAAGGGCAGGAGGACATCGCAAAATACAGGGACGGGGGCGGGGGCGGGGGCGGGGGCGAGCGTGCAGAACCAGGGCACTGATCAGGAGGGAGGAGGACTCTGAGGTCACAAATTTGCTGAATGAATAAAGGACAATGCCGGAGAGATACAGATGAAGAGGGCCCCCAAGAATTCTGAGGGACGAGGACAGGGGCCAAGGATGGAGGACTAGTCCAGGAATTAAAAAATTATTATTTTTTTTAAAAAGCCAGGCTCTGGCAAGACCAGGGGAGGGTGAAGTGGACAGCATTTTGGAGAAGCAGATAATTTACAGGCGAGGGACAGGCAAGGGCCCCAGACAATATGCAGTGATGCAGGTAGACGGTGGCTTTTGGTTAGAAGGCAATGGTAGCAAACCATGTGGCTCAGAATCCCAGCACCGGAGGCTGAGGCAGGAGGATGGCCAGTTCCAGATCGAGTTGGGCTACATTGTGAGCCTGCTCTTAAAAAACGGGGGTGGGGTGGGGGGACAACAGAAATCTGGAGTGCCAGCCAGCTGAGGCCAGAGCTACAGTGCCAGGCTAAGAAGAGGTGTGGGGGAGGGGGAGACAGGGAAAACTGGGGCAAGAAGGGGAAGGGGCCACTGGCAGTGCCGGCGCCATCAGGGCTTGGCGTGCGGGTGCGGGTGTGAGTTGTGGGGTGTTGGGAGACGGTGGTGTGTCTCCCGGGCCAGGAGAGGATGTGAGAACAGTTTGTTCCCAGGTTCCCTCCTGCTTGGCCCGAGTTGGTGGGGGGAGGGCAGGGCTGGAGGATGGGGCCCGGAGGAGGGTGGAGAGTGAGCTTGTCTGAGTAGCTGGGAGGGCTTGGTTCTCCACTGGATATATGCAAAGCCTTCCAGAAGACAATTTTAGGGGGCAGGGGTACGGAGGAGGGTCAGAGTTGAGCTCATACACAAAGAGGCCACGGACAGCTAGTTGTGTGTGTGTGTGGGTGCCATCCTGTTCGGAGAAGCAGTGTTCCCTTGGGATCTTCCCGTGGAATTCCTGAGTCTGAAATCAGTTTGCCTCGGATGTCCACAGATTTGGGTTTTACGTTGCCCCCACCTTGCCTGCAGGAGGGCCAGAGAACCTGATCCTGGCTGAGGTCTCAGGAGTGTGTTGGAGATGCTTCCCTCATGGATGCAGAAGGAGATTCATAATTCCTACCTCTGACCCCTAGAGGCCCGGGCTGCCCTCCACTGCAATCCATTCCTGGCAGAGGGACCCGGTGGAGAGATGCTTTGACCACAGTGGGTGGGGCAGAGTATACAAATGAGGTGGAGGGGAAGGGGTGTGGCTTGCAGCAGGTGGGGCCCTTAGGGGTAGGGCCTTCCATTTTTGAGTCTCACAGACTAGGATGATCTTTTTTTTTTTTTTTTTTTTTTTTGGTTTTCTCTGTATTGTTTTGGAGGCTGTCGGTCCAGCCTGGCCTCAAACTCACAGAGATCCACCTGCCTCTGCCTCCCGAGTGCTGGGATTAAAGGTGTGTGCCACCACTGCCCGGCAACTAGGGTGGTTTTTATTTTACCTGAAATCTTGTGGTTTTGTTTGTTTGGAGACAGGGTCTATATGGCCCTGGCTGTCCTGGAACTCCAGTAGATCAGGCTGGTCTCAAACTCAGAGATCTGGCTGCCTCTGCCTGCCAAGGGCTGGGATTCAAGGCGTGGACTGCCTTGCTCTGCCGAGTTTGTTTGTTTGGTGTTTAAAGCATCAGAAGAGGGGACAGGGTCCCTTGGGTTTGGGGTTGAGCTGTCATGTGACTGCCGGGTGCACGCAGTCCTCTGGAAGAGTATCTGGTGCTCTTGACCACTGAGTCACTTCTAGTTCAGAAGTGTTTTCTCTTTCTTAAGGACTGTATCGCTTATTTTGGGGATAGCACAGGCTGGTCTTCAACTTGCTTTGTGGTTGAGGATGACCGTGAATTCCTGATGTCCCCTCACTTCAAGAGCTGGGGTTACAGATGTGCTCCAACACAACCAGCCTTTTTGTCTCTGAGAGAGGTGGGCTCCTGCTGCAGAGTCCAGGCTGGCCTTGGACTCCCAGGGATCCTCCTGCCTCAGCCTCAGAGTGCTAGGATTACAAGTCGGAGCCATAACACCCGGCTTTTAAAAAGCAGACCACCTGCTTCCCCCTTTTGAGACAGGGTCTCGGTGTGGCCCTCGCTAGCCTGGAGCTTGCGACTTCAAACAGCCTGGCTCAGAACTCAGAGGTCTACCACCTTGTCCCCCAGTGCTGGGATTAAGGGCGTGTGTTACCACGCCTACCCTGCAAACCTAGCTTTTTCTTTAACCTTCAGCACAGTTCTACATCCTGAGGTCAGATTTGTGCAGTCTGGATGCAGAGGAAAAGCTGTATGGCTGGTGAGCTGGGCCGTAGGGGTGTGACATGCATTTAAGGGAGCGCTGATTTCCAGGCAGCTGCCTGCGAGCACACCAGCCATTTCTATGAAACGTTTATTTCCTTTGAAACCTCCTGAAACATGCCAGAAATCTCAAGACAGGGATGGGAAGGGGGTGGGGGGGAGACAATAAAGAATGATAAAAAATCCAAATAGAACAAATCAACATGGAGAAAAAAAAAGCCTGCTGCTATCTCCAGCCATCAGACAGAACATCAACCTCAAATTAAATAAGTCTTTTTTTTTGCAGAAATTCTTACAAAAATAATAGAACAAAACCAAAAATTACAATTTACAATTGTCAATGTACATGATTAGGTCCCCAAAATAATTTGAATGATCTGAAGATTCGAGGAGACACATTAAAGAAAGGGAGAGAAGGAGGGAGGGAGGGTGGGAGGGGCAGGCTCCAGGTCCCGGTCTGAGGGAAGGGGGAGGGGCAGGGACTGGAGAGCCCTTCAGAAAGGGGATCAGGAGAGGAGGGACATCACAGTAGTTGGCCAGGGCTGAGGACACTGGGTAGCCTGGCCTGCCACCATCATTCCACGGTGGGTGGAGGACATGGTGGGCTGCTCCCTCACGACCCAGGGTTCCCCGGGGCCAGAGGTGGGTCACAGGGAGCCGGGGGGTACCCTTCTGCCCTCCAGCCTGGCACATGTGGAGTGTGTGGTCTTAGAGCCCTTCCCTGGAGGTCAAAAGAGAAGGAGAAGGGTCCTGGGCTGAGCTGGGCCATGTGGCCATGGCTCTGGGCTCAATCCATGCTGCCAACTGTTCCCTGCCCCCCACACCCTCTCGGTCCTCACACTGACCCCAGCCCATGGGGACGCATCTTGACCCTGGGTTGGGGGGTCCACAAATCGTGGTCATTCAAACTTGTTCTGGCACAACTCTACATGAAAAAATAAATATATATATATATATTCTTTTCTGTTTGTTTTTTAAAGAAGGAAAAAAAAGGGAATTTGTGTTTCCTGGGTGAGCAGCATAGACCCAGACCGAGCTGCCCCTTATTGCCTTTGGAGAATCAGCATCTCTGGGGGTTGCACTGAGTGCTCCCCGGGGAGCACAGTGAGCGTGTCTGGTGGCCCCTGGGGGCTGGAGTGTGGCCAGGGAGACTTGGAAAAGAAAAGAGGACCAGGCAGGTGAAGGCTGTGTTTCAGCCCTGTCCCCAGGCTCCTCGCTGCCTCTGTAGGGAGGCCATGGCCTAGTTGTGCTAGGAGAGGAGCCCACGGCCGGCCGGGTCAGTAGCTGAAGGCAGAGGGGCCCGTGGCGGCTGGAGAGGAGCTGATAGAAAAAGATCGTATCAACAGTCTTAGCTGTACAAACAGGGTTTCTCAAAGGAGTGGATCTGGATGCTAGGGTTCCTGTCTCTTCTGGGGGCCCCAGGAAAATAATTTAAACTCTATGAAAGTGCTCCTGGTTTCTGTATGGAAGGGGGACTCAGAGGTGATGTCCATGCTGTCTGGAGCCAGAGCACTGGGGAGAGAGGAGCCCTGGCCCATCAGGGAGCAGGGAAGGGCCCATTTGTTCCACAGTTCTCATGCAGGGGCTCCTGGGTGCCTCCCACTCTCCCAGCTCCAGGCAGTGGGGTCCTAGGAACAGGCTCCAAGGCCCGCAGGGCCACAGGGAGCAGCAGAGAGGCTGAGGCTCCGTCAAGCTAGCTCGTTATGCCTGGGGCTCCCAAGTCCCTAGGGGAGGTTGTGAGGCAGTGGGTGCGGGGCCATGGCTGGATGACCTGTCACCCCTGCAGCCGGAAGCCACTGCCTGCCAGCCAGGGAGGCCCAGGGTGCCTCAGAGTTCCTTCTTCTCCCTGCTGAAGAGCTCGGCGAACTTGCGCAGCTGCTCACTGGCGGCCTGAGATTCCTCCTGCAGCCGCTGGTTGTTCTGCCGAAGGCTGGCCACCTCAGACTGCAGCACCACCTTGTCCTGCCTCTCCTGGGAGGGCAAAAAGCTGGGTTAGGTACAGTGGCCAAGGGGGCACAGGCACAGACCACAGCCACTGGGGCCTGAGAGGCCTGGCTGCAAGGGTTCAAATTCCAGCTCTGCATCTCCGGATGGACAATCCTGGGCGAGTTACTTCACATCCTGGCCTTGACTCTGACAGGCAGATTGGGAAGCCTTTGAAGGGGGTTGTTTTTTTAGAAAGGGTCTTACGATGTAGCTCAGGCTGACTTCCAATTTACAGT